AAGTAAAGCAAGGAAAGGGTAGGGAATTTCAGGGGATGGAGTACAATTTTAAACAGAATGGCTATAGAAAACCTCACTGACAAGCTCATACTTGAACCAAAGGCCTGCAGAGTGAGGGAGCAAGCCATGTGGGTCTCTGGGAGGGGAACAAGGCAGAGAGAGAAGCAACTGCAGAGCTCTGGAGGGAAGGTTGTGATTGGCTTGTTCAAGATTAATGAGGCCAGAGTGGTAGGAGCAGCATGGGTAGGAGGGAAGAGTCAGAGATATCAGAAAGGTAGTAGGGTGTCAAACTGTGAAAGGACTTTCAGCCATTGAATTCAGACTTTGAATCTGACCCTGAGTGAGATGGAAAGGCATTAGAGGGTCATATGAAGAACAGTACCAACTTGGGTTTTAAAAAGGTCACTCTGTCTACCATCTTGAGTATTGTCTGAGAGGGGGCATGGCTGGAATAAAGAGGCAGGCTTTTTCAATAAACCAGATTAGAGATGATGGTGGCCTGGACCAGATTTGTAAGGGTGGAGGGAGTAAGAAGTAGAGGGATTCTGGATATATTCCTGATAGCAGACTAATAGGATTTGCTGATGGATTGGACATAGGGTTTGAGAGACATGCAGTTGCCAAGGATTGGCCCAAGCAGCCAAGGATAAAGCAATCATTCACTAAGATCAGAAAGGCTATGAGAGGAGCAGACCTATGAAGAATGATCAGGAGTTCAGTTTCACACCTATAAGGTTGAGATGGTGTTTTGACATCCACATTGAATAAGAAGTTATATACATACATGAGTCTGGAATTTAGGAATGTCGTGCCTACCAGGCATACAAATTTGAGAGTCATCAGCACCTAGATAATATTTGAAGCCGTGAAAAATGGACAGGATCATCAAGGGAATAAATTTAGATAGAGAAAAGATACAAGGATTGATCCTTGAGTACTTCAGAGCTCAGATGTCAGGTTGATGAGGATGAGGAGGGTACATCCAGGGACCTAGAAGGAGCAGCTAATGAGATAGGAAGAAGACCAGAAGACAAGGGAAGAAAGCAGTTCAGCAAGGGAAAAGTGGTCAACTGTATCAGATGCTGCTCATGGCTTAGGTCAAGTAAGAGGAGGACCAAGAACTGAGTTCTGAATTTAACAACACGAGATCATTGGTAGTGTGAGTTTTACAAGCTGTATTTCAGCGAAGTGTTGGGGAGCGATTAAAGTAGATTTAAGAGTTTAGTAGAAGAAATGGAGAGAGTGAATATACACAATTTTTCAAAAAAGTTTTCAAAAATGGAGATCAGAGAAATAGAGAAGTAGCTAAAGGGGGGTGCAGGTGAATCAAGAGAGTTTTTATTGTTTTTTATTTTTAAAGTGGGAGAGATTATGACATGTTTATATACTAATGGGAATGACCCCAGGAAAGAGGGAAAATTGATCATGAAGATGGAAGAGACAATTACTGGAGAGAGATCCTTAATAAGTGAGAAAAGATAGAGTCAGTATACATGCGAAAGGGTTGGCCTCACTCACATTGGGTTATGAGTTCATTCAAAATACAGAAAGGCAGGCAGAGAATTAGGAAAACATAGAGGTAGATGGGTACATGTGATGATGGGAGCTTTTGAAAAACTTCTTCTGGTTATTTCTAATCTCTCCCTGAAATGGAAAGCCAGGTCATCAACTGAGAGTGAGGATGTAGGAGAAGTTGGACATTTGAGGAGAATTGAGAAAGTATGAAATAATTATCTAGGAGAGTAGAAGGAGTGGCTTAGGAAATAGTACAATATGATGGCTGAACAGCACCAGAGACCAATTTAAAATTCATGCTCAAAAATTCAGACTAGTAATCATGGAAATGTGCTTTCTGCAGCCAAGTTCAGCTGTGTGGGAGTGACCACAAGTAGGCAGAGAGTTAAAGTTTTGCCATGTAAGAGAGGAGAGAGTATCTATGAGACAGGGACTAACCACAGAGTTTATATTGGGTAAAGAGATAAAGTCACGGCACAAGACGGAGAGAGAGGAGCAGTGAAAATTGGTTGAAGGGATCAAGGAACTGTAGATACTCATAGGGTGGGAGAATTGTGGAATTGTTCTTCTAGAGAACGAAAACTAGAAAGACAAGATGGGTGGTCAGAGAGTGGGATGTTTAAAATAGAAATTAGGGTGGGGTTATAGCTGGAAATGACAAGGTCTGCTGATACAGGGAGGGGGCCAGATCATGGCAGCAAAGAGGAGGTCAAGAAATTGAGAGAGCAGAGTGTTAAAATTATCACCTTTGTGGATAGCGAGACATGAAGAATTATGGCAGGAGTAATGTTGGAGAGCTATTGACAGTAAGCCAGAAGCTAACATCCTTAAGGAATGCGGGGGAATGACCAAGCAGGAAGTAAGTAGATAGGGGGTCAGCAGGTGACACAGTCTGGTATCTCTCTACCACCAGTAGTAGGCTTTTGAATACCATGTGCCTCACACCAGAAAGTAAGTTGTACAGGTGTTTTGTTTGCTTCTTTGTCTGTTTTTAATGTTCCCTTACCAACTTAACGTCCAAATACTGTACTGTTAAATATGTGGAGCCCAGTTCAGAAGAGTTTGATTCTGATTCATATTGCTAAATATTTTTCTGATCATGCGAGCTTGCCTTTCTCACCCTAACCTTGATACCCAGTAGAGAATTTGCGACATTAGGAAAGTGTTCAACTCCTGGCTGTGGTACATATATGGCCTTGGACAAACCATTTAAACTCTAGGAAACTTGGTTCCTTCATTGGTAAAAGAGGGGAAGTAATATATACGTCTGACGCTTATTGTGAGGGTGGAAGACAATGTGAAAGCATCTAGTCATTGTCCCCAGCACCTAATAGGAGCTCAATTCAAATTTATTTAATAAATAACTACATCTAGATATTTTTATTATAAAATACTGCAAAATGGACCATCTATTCATTGTGAAAAGAAAATGTCCTTTATGAAAAGAAAATGTACCACTTGGCAGTTGGACTTTGGTATGTAGAGTTCGTGTTATAGATTAGCTCACCAAATCGGGAAATCTGTAAAATGGGTTAATATTGCAATAAAGTTTTTACTCTACACTCATTATGTGATTAAGGCAAAAATATTTTTACTGCAATTATCCAAGTTCAGTAAAAAATTTAATGAGACATTCACTGCCTTGGGCAGGCTAGCATGAAATTTAATTTGTGCTAATTTGCCCAAAAGTTAGGAAGCAGACATATATCATTTTTAGAATTTGATTCTATGAGAGTAAAACCAGTATTTTCTGAGGTGTTTCTATGCATAGATATAGATTCCTCTATCATCTCAGGCAATCAAAAACTCATCATGAGCATCATAAAAATGGATCAATATCAGGTACTTAGGATCAACTGGGTACTGGCAGGCTCTATAGAAATAGGAATGTTTATGAGATATAGTGAGCATCTTGTGTTTGTATATTGAATATCTATAAAGGAAAGAGTGATAGAATTCATGTCAGGTGGCCTAGGTTGAGAGGCTGTCTCTGCTGGTTATTGAATGCAGGGCTTTTAAGCAAGGCCTTATTTTCTTCATCTGAAAAGTGGGCATGACAGTACCTCATGGGGTTGCCATGTTAGTTGAGTAAGGTAATATGAATGTTTTTACTATGCTATGTTAGTCAGAGGTTAAGGAATCCTGATCATGCCTTCTGGGGATAGGAAGAGGTTGTTAAAGATACCATTATCAGGTATCTCAGAGTGCTTCTGGGATATTTCCATCATTTTTCCTTCAACCAGGCTGGAAGACATGCAGGGCATTTTGAGAAAATTATTCTGGACATGTCAAAGAATAGCTGGTAACTGAGCCACTCCTTTATAGATTGAGCATATTTTTCTGTTAGGCTGAGGTGGATAGAAAGTTTCAATGATAGTTTAGAGGGTCCATAAGAACCATTCCAGTGACAGACTCGCCTGAAGTCATGAGTGTTAAAAGGTGAAAGGACCTTCCAAGACTTCCCTGACCCCAGGTCTCATCAATACTGGAAACTGAAGCTCAGAATGAATAGTTACAATGATATTTTGAAATGAGTTCAAGCTGTAATTATTGTCCATTAAGGTCGAGGAACAGTTGGTAAATACTCAACCATGAGAATACTGTTTCAGTCATAGTGTCTAAGCTATGTAGTATGTCTTCAGTTCTTTCAACCCCTTACAATGCCTCAAGGGAAACTGAGAAGCAGATAGCCATGTGTCCCTGTAGAGGAAGAAACTGACCTTCATAAAAGGTTTGGTAAGTGTATTTGAACTAGAGTCCCATTGTGACCTGGCCTTGGTACCCACTGTGATCTAATCTGTTATTCTGATGGGTTGCAGGGTCGTCCCTGCATTTCACTCCTGCCTCCTCCAACCCAGCTCCAGCCCAGGGCCTCAGAGGGTAATGACATCCCACACGATCGATCTTTCCCCTTCCATGATAATGAAAATAGAAGCTCCTTAAAGGAGCGTCCTTACAAATTCAGCCACAGAAATAGGTAGACATTTGCATGGATACCAAATATATGACTTGCTAAATCTGACTCCCTGGGACATACTTGATCCTTTCTCATCTTGATCTTCCCATTGTACAGCTCTCAAACCAAGATGGAGGCACAAGCCTCCAGTGTCATTAAAATATGTCTTATGCTACCGGTCTGGTCTGTTTCTTTTAACATCCTGGGAAATCTTAAGAAATGATCTTAAGTGCATTGTTTGAAATGCACTCAAATGTCAATTCGTTAGTCGAGATTTGCCATATTTGTAATGTTATAAGAACCCTGCTTTTAGGTTTCAAAACCATCAATGAGTCGCTCGATTGTATTGCTTAATGCCCAGGAGATTTGCAGGACTCCTCCAGGGAGCACCTTGGTCACATTTTGTCATTTGCTTAGAATGCCAACAGAGCCCCCTTTTGGAATGTGTGGGAGATGAATTCCAATGCCACATGGAAGAACATGCATATAGATATTTCCCCGTTTCATTTTATTTTTTGAATCTATACAGGCAGCAGCCTCAGATTCCAATCACCACAGGAACAGGTGTTGTGTATCCTGGTGCTATTACTATGGCAACTACCACACCATCACCTCAGATGACATCTGACTGCTCTAGCACCTCGGCCAGCCCAGAGCCCAGCCTCCCAGTCATCCAGAGCACTTATGGTATGAAGACAGACGGCGGAAGCCTAGCTGGAAATGAAATGATTAATGGAGAGGATGAAATGGAAATGTATGACGACTATGAAGATGACCCCAAATCAGACTATAGCAGTGAAAATGAAGCCCCGGAAGCTGTCAGTGCCAACTGAGGAGTGTTTGTTTGCTGAATTAAAATACTTTGACATTTCACCTCCCCTCCCCCGACAAAAAGTTCTTAAAGAGCCCGCATGCATTTGTGGCTCCACAATTACATCAGCAGAATGGTCTTAATTGTTTCGTAAAGTGTGAAACAGATTAAGTTTTTCCTGATTTTTCATGAACTTGAGTTTTTGTCGTTATTGTTATTGTTGTTGTTGTTGTTTTTTTAATTTAGGTGAAGACATATTAAATATGAGACACCAGGACTTGAAAACTTATCTCAACCCATAGCTGTCTTACAAGTCTTATATTTTTGTCTTACTTTTTATTTTTTTTTCTTTTGGATGTTGATAAAGGTTTAAGTTACTGTTTTAGATGGGGTTAAACATTCTCACTCAGGTATGCTGTGCCGGCCTACAGGTTGTGAATGTGTTTTTATTCTGAATTATTTTAGAGAACAACTAAGGATTTCCTATCGTGAAACAGAACCAGTCCACAGCATGCGCAGCTGCGTGCAGAGCATATTCAAAAGGCCTCGGAATTCCATTGTTTCCACGTTGTAGAGTTAAACTTTGAATGTGCCAAACTTTTTCATAACTTTTGAATCTTAATATTTTGGAAGTCTTAAAGGAGACACTGCAAAGTCTTAGACAATCTTTGGCATCTTAAGATAAAACAGCAAACCAGACATTTTTTTTTTCCAGAAAATGGTAAAGTACTCAGGAATCTGGAGACAAGATATTGTAAGGAATGAACAAGGTTGCCACAGTGCAGGTACCCAATTGTGTTTGCCTCTTGACGTGCCATCCGCGTGTGACGTGTTACGCTGCGCGCACCAGAGCGATCACCGCACCAGACACCAACCTGGTGGTCTTCTCTGCCTGAGACCACCTCTCACTACATCCATTATCCCTTTGCCTTTTAACCCTGACATTCAGTCTTAACACATTTTCTCTTAAATTATTCATTCCAGAATGTCAAGGGTCCACATACATACTATTTATTTGAAAAAAAAAAAATGTTTGTGGCATTAATTTAATAATTCTTGTTTTCCACCCTCCTTTCCTGAAGACCTTTTCAGCCCATTTCACCTTCTCCTGCTGGATACAAAAGATATACACAGCGATTTTATGTCCCCAGAGCACCTGGACACATATCTGAAATAGGATACTATTCAATACTTCTATTGTTTTTCAATATAAATGCATATCTGGCTGCAGGGTATTTGGATCCAGGTGTAAGGTCTTACACTTCAACAGATATGCCACTGAGGTTATCTGTGACCTCAAATCCTTTGCCAGAATTCCCCTCTAATTCAGTTGAGCAGCAGTGGTAGGCTCTGCATCAGCGGTGTTTCCCCTACATGCCATTCAGCAGCAAGGGTCAGCAGTGGTAACCGCCAGGCAGGAGAGTCCTGCAGCCAAACCCAAAACCCAAAGTTGTGGACCAGGGAGGAGGCTACAGTGATGCTGTCATGGGCTGGCACCTTTGCACGGAGTTGCCTTGTCACATCTGGCGCATCTAGGGAGTTTTTTGCAAAATCCCCAGGATGCAAGAAGCCACATGACAGCCTCAAGGCAAAGATAGAGGCAAATAGTCATGATACATCCAGAGAATGAAAGAAAATCATAGGGAAGGAGAAGGAGGGGAAATACATTCCCTATATGGGATGTTCCTACTGTTAAGTCTGGGGAACGGACAACTTCTGGGGCAGCGGCTGAGCTCCTCTGGCTCACTCCCTCCATCCGTGTCCACATGCGGGGATGGGGGTGGGGTCATACCTCCCTGTGAACCAGATTAACTGCACTGGTCACACAGGGATTTCTCTGGAGATGTGCTGATGGGCTGGGAGGCAGTGAGGTTTCATTCCCCATCTCCTAACTACAGGGAGCTCGGCCATGCCATTTTGACCTTCCTGAAACCAGGACTGACTGACTGTGGGGTGGGGGTAGGGGCCTCACCCAGAGAGGTTCAGTGGGAAAATGTCAGTTAATGGGATAGTTCACCTCATGGGACAACCCAGAATCTGATCACCAGGACGTAGGAACGGCCCCATCAGATTTCTTGAGCCATTTTGTCACTTGGAAGAAAATAGTGTACCTTCATATTTATTTAAAGAGTGCTCAAGGCCATACCTAATAGCAATAAATAGGTCTAGCCAAGATGTTACTGGCTATGTCATTAGCTGGGAGTGCTCTCCATAAGCTGATTAAGGTACTGATAGGAATGTTTTGTTCTTAGTATTGGTTGGGGATTGGAACTTTGTTTTTGTACATTTATTTCAAATGAGGAGGAGGTCATTTTTTTCTCAAAAATGGATATTTATTATTGTTTTACTGATTTCTGTTGATTATATATACCTCTCCTCCTCACTTCATTCTCACGTCTTTTTCTCTTTCTCTCAGACTCTTATGTTTGCTCTCTCCCCCTCTCTCCTCCTTTTTTATTTTGTCGCATAGGTAGAGTGCTGTATGGCTAGCATTGTATTGTATGTAATTAATTTTGCACAAAGGCAAACATTTAGAGTAGTAGGTTAATTTTGTTTGTTTTTATGACCATGCCAAAATAATATTCTGGGCTGGTGGAGAACAAAGGACTGTTCTTTAGGACTGAAACTTGATTTTGCTTGTAGTTAAAAAAAAAAAAAGAAAAAGAAAAAAAAACAACAAAAAACACACACACTCACAGATGTTGTTTCGTAAGTGTTATAAGCACTGGATATAAATGGTATTTTTTATCACTTCTGACTAATGTGAAACTTGTACGAAAACTACACGAACAAAAGTCATCTGTTTCGACTCGTGTGGGCTTGCCTCACAGTTGCCGGATTTGAGTCATTTTTATGTCTTGTTATTTCATTTATTTATGCAAAATACATGTGTGTATGAACACTTTGTTTTAGCTCCAGCTCTGCCTCAGTACTGGGGTGCAGTCACTTCTGGCCATGTTCTTAAAAGCGAAAGGCTATTCAGGAATGATCTGATTGTAAACGTCTCTTTCATTGGGTCAAATGGCGATGCTGTATTTGAATCTAAATTCTGTGCATAAGCAGTTTACTCTATTTATTAGCCAAGTTTGGCTCTAAATATCCATGGAAATTAAGAATGACAATCATAGGGATCACTTCGTTTTATTTTCAGTGGGGCTTAAACAAAGTTTTTATGATTCTACCATCTCATTTTAGATTTTTCTAATTGTGTAAATATAACATAGAAATAGAATTTATTTTTGGTTCATGAATACGTAGTGAGATATAAGTTATGTATTTCCTTTTTGTTCTCTCTCCATGTACGCTGGTCCAGACTAGAAGGTGATGAGTCACTGTACCTCATGGGGACAGTGGATTAGCAGCCACAGTGAGAAAGCAGTGTTCCACCTGCAGCTGGGGAAGTAAAACCTTTCATTCAGGTTCCCAGGCAGTTTAGAACCCATTGTCCACAGACTCAGACTTTTACTTATTTTTTTCTTATAGAAAGTCGATGAATTGAATATACTAAATTTCCATTACAGCTGGGGAAGAGTCAATTTGCTTTTGAAAATCCACATAAATCTTAAAAGGTAGTTCTGTGACCATTTAGTAGCAAGAAGCATGAATGCCTTCGAGATTGACCATTAAAGTCCTACCATGCCAATTAGATTAAAGAATGCTAATCAACTGTTTTCAGTGCTTTCTATTTCACAGTATCTTCAAATCAAAGAAAAATCATCTCCATGTTTTGTTAAAGAATTTACAGGATCGGGATTTTCCTTGTCACTTAGAATTAGGGACACTGGCACACAATCCTCTCCTAAAAAAATGGGATAGGAAGGAAGGAAAGGGAGGAACAAAGGAAGGAAGAAAACAAAAAGAAGGAAGGAAGGCAGAGAAAGGAAGGAAGGGAGAGAAAGAAACGGAGAGAGAAAGAAAAGGTCAATCCATGGACAGGAACAGCCAGGGAGGCAGTTTCTCTATTTCCTCAGCAGAGGCAACACGGTACCTTCTCCAGGAAGGTGAGAAAGTCATGTCGTTTTCACGTGTATTCAGGAGCACATCAGTTTGCTTCATTTGGTATTTGATACTCGCCAGCCTTGTCCTCAGGCCTGATTCGATATGCCGGGGTCCTGACAGTCTCCCAGGCCAAGTTCTAAATTCAGGTGTGGGCTCACAGTGCTGTTGAGCTTGTCAAATTCTGGCCTCCCCTGCACATTAGCCCCACTGGAGCCTGGGGTGTTTGAAAAGGGTGTGATCACTCTAGGGCTGAAATTAAAGGCTTCTTTCTTTTCCTTACGAAGCCAGGCTGCTTCTTCAGAGCACAGCCTCCCGAGCCAGGAGCACAGGCACTAGCTGAAAGCGGGGATTGTTTCGAGGAAGCCCATCTACCCCCAGTAGGAAGGCGGCCTGGTCACTTGAACACCACAGGCAGAGACTGCTTCTCTCAATTTATTCATTTTGCAAAAAGCTGACCCTGACCTACTCATTAGGGAAAGGAAAAAGAATCACTTAGTAGTTTTAAACCATACGAGAAGTCCTGTTCCAAGTGCCAACGACTACAACGAATGCAGCTAGAGGAATGTATTGAAATTATTACTGGGTCTTCCTTTCTAATGAGAAAATGACAAAATTGGTTGCTGTAGCCTTGCCTGATTTTGTACACGTTTGTCTAAGGACTGAGTTGGCACTGAAGCTCACTTCTCAAAGTATAATAATAATGTATGACCTCATCTGTCCCTTTACAGAAGCACCTGCATCATTTCCTTAAGCCATCTGCCCCCTGACATGTCTTCTTCCTTAATAAACAACTTCTATCTGTTACTCCTGCCGATTATGTTCTGTTTCTGATGCCATATACTGTTGAGTGTAACCTTCTGCTAATATCATTGCAAATATTGATATGCAAACATATTTCCTTTTCATCCCCATCCCATCTTTCCTTCTGGGGACAGATTGCTTTCTAAAAGCTCATGAACAAGTATGGGGAATGCTGGTACCTTTGGGGCAGGGCTAGAGAGGGGGGTGGGGGACAGAAAGGTAACGCTTAGTGCAGATACTCTTCCAACTGGTGTCCGTGGCTATATGAACGCTTGACAGCAACTCAGTGACATATCTTGCTCAGTAGTTTCTTATTCCTGAAGAACCACAAGCATAAGGTGAGGCCTCAGTGCTGGTGCTCTTGGAGTATGGGGAATGTGCA